AATTTGGAGCTCCTCCTGGTTCTTGATGGCTTTCTGTTGTTTGTAGGCGCTCTCTGCTCTGACAGCAATGTCCAATGCGCTGGAGAACATTAGGTCTTTCTCCGCAAACAGTCGTTGTTGCAGGAGTTCGTCGCGGATGCCGCAGACGAACCGGTCGCGCAGCATCACTTCCAGCGGCAGTTTGGTGTCCACTTGTGGCATCGCTTGTTGCTGAGTGCTAGCTGCAGCACCGGATGTTTGAGACGACGCTGGTAAACCCGACGCTGGAAGCTGCGCAGTTGTCGAAGCGATTTGCGGAGTTGCGGAGGGCAAGATGCCGAAATTACAGTCGCTTGCTAGCTGCTTGAGAGCCGCAACGTAGCTACTTATTGATTCTTCCGGCAATTGGTCTCGCCGTTGAAATTTGAACCGGCTGTAGAGCTCTGAAGATCGAGGGTCGAAGTGCGCACCAAGGATGGTCACGATCTCGTCGAACTCAACCTCGCCAGGTCCTCTGGGTGCCACTAATGCTCGTACCACTTCGTAAGTCTCTGGGCCACAGAGCGTTAAAAGGAGCGCTCGCTTCTTATCCATGGCGTTGATGCCATTGGCCACGAAGTAAAATCCGAGACGTTCGAACCACGATGTCCATGACTTGCCTGAGAAGGCTTCCAGCTTCCCTTGCATGGCCATGGCTTGTGGTCGGTGGTTTCAGGCTTCGTTGGTCCTTGGTTCCTCGTCGCCAGTGTTGTATTCGCGTAGACTAAGTGGCTACTACCCGAATACTTAGGTTTATTGATCAGAAGCGGATCAGCGTTCGGGGACGACTGGCTTGCGCCATCGGGGGCTCGTGTCTCTCGATCGCGCTCTGCGGGCACGCGCTCTGGCTGCAGATCGCTTTTGATATTTGGTGGTCGCGTGGCTCCGCTGGCCATCACAACCGGGCAGCGACGTCCGTGAAAGCTAGTAGAGATTCCGTGTCATCGCAAAATCATCGGCAACATCAAAGCAGATCGCTTCACTTAAGCTTTCGGACAAATACGGAATTTTTTTTTAAACTCTCGCCGGAAATATGTTTGTAAACTCTAATTGATTTATAAAGCTCCATATGTTTATAAATCACGTTGGCAAAAAAAAATGACGGTAAAAGAAGTTTGGTTAGAATAGTCCTTAGAAGAGGGCTCTCCAGTTTTCTTTCAATTCTTGGACTGTTTATGAAAGGGGATTTATTGCTTGTCTCGCCAACGTTCGTTCAGTGCAACGGGCCATTGTACTTATGGATCACAATTAAAGCCATTGTTTCTTTTTTTTTTTTTTAGATCAAACTATTGGTGCTTTTTTAGAAAGAGGACATTTCATAGGAAGGGGGTGAGGGCAGGCTGTAGCGGTGGAACGGGATGGGGAGAAACCGAGCTTCCCAGCGCGTGCGTCCAAGGGTTTGGCGATATTAAAACGTTTGGTAAAGGAACAATTGTCGGCAAGTTTTTGTTATGGGGCAGTTAGTATTTTCAACTACAAGGGCGCCATTGCCATATTCAGCTGAGTAAATACCATGGGATGCAGATAAAGTATTATGAAATAGTGGAGCGTGCTTGCCTAAATATACGTTGTTGTTTTGTTTTTGTTTTAATTGGGATGGAATGAAACACCGCATTTCACAGACTTTGCAACTCTAACGCAATTAAACTTTGATAAACTCCGAATTTTCGGCAAATTATAAACTTCCAAAACCGCCCTCCAAATTTTATCACAAAAATAAACTCCGAAAACACGGGACCCTACTTATCTTCGAGACAATATCGAAGATACCATTTACGCGTCTTTGAGTGCCAAGTTCCAACTTCGACACTTTGGGAAGAGCAGTCTCATCACCAATAGTTTACGGAAAAGTATTCTGACAAGAGGTCACCAAAAATTGATCCGGATAATCAATTTGTATCACCAACTGGAGAACAAAATACGATGATCTTCCACATATAAACTCGCCCTTACAGGCAGCCTCTTTCACCAGATTCAGCATCGTAAGTTGCGAAGCTGTGAGTGCGGTGGCCCATTTCAAGAAAGAAAGGGGTAGATAGAGAGGGAGAGAGAAATTAATGTAAAATTGTAGAGATGGACACCATTAAAAAAAAGGATTTGGTTTCTTTGTATCTTTCAAAATATGTATTACTTTGCTGAAGACTGCCATCGATTCGCATTGAGCGGTTCCAAATACAAATTTAATAAAAGACAGTCATTCTTTATCTCTTTGACAAAGTTAGTGAGCATTTGGCTCAGCCAAAGAACGCTCAAACGTTTTCAACGGAACAGCGGCCTCTAACGTGACTACGAGGTTTAAAAATACCTCCTATCTATGCCTATGATTGTGTACGTCTGTTGCATGTACCCAAATGATTGAGCTTGACAGAGTTCATTGAATGTTCGTAACACTGGATCAGTCAAAGAATCGAGCTAGTTGAAAAGAGAAACTTTTGCCATTTAGTAGTCTTATGGCGCGCCCTTTAGCAAGAACTTTGGGATACCGTATACCCTTCTATTTGGTGTTTGTGCTGCTGGAACGTTGGTCTCTTTTCGCATCTCTTCCCACTTGCTATTTCAAAACAATTTATCTTATTTCTTACCACTTTCAAGTTAGGGGTAGCCGGCGTCGTATTAAAAGTTGCCAAACTCCCCAAAGATCTTTTTAAATCTATTTCCCCTTTTTCTTACTGCTACGGTTTTAGTTCAGTGATTTTAAAAGGCTTTCATCGCAAACCACGCATGTCATTTTTCCCGTCGTGCAAAGAAAGCTCAATACAAATCGGATTTTGCAATCCGGTAAAAGCTGTGGCTGACGCAACATGGAGTGATACTATTGAATCAAACAAACTCGCCAGGCCCACGTCATTGAACCCGCAAAACGCTCAAGTACCCATGAAAAAAAAAAAAAAAAAAAAAACTTTTTTTGTAACCAACCGTATTAAACACTTTTTATCGTGACAGAAGGTCTGCACATAAACCTTATTGTAAATTTGCTCCCACTCGTATATTAGGTGGTGTTCTACAACGCACTCTTCGTTGCGCATAGAGATCAATATAGCTACGCTATATTGATCTCTATGCGCGAGGCACGAAGAAGAAATAAAAAAATGCACAGTTTATTTGTCCCGGTTGGCTACCCTGCACGTGCAGAACGATGTGTAGAAAAAAAATATATATATATGAAATTAAAATGTGTAAATGAACAAAATAATAGCATGCGGTTGTGTGGCAATGTGGCTAGAGTCTGTTACACGCCGAGAATATCGGGACAAGGTTCTCCCCCAAAATCTCTCTTCTCGCCACGATTATTGGTTTCCACCCCATCGCTCGGCTCCTCTTCCGCGTTCGCTTTGCCCAAGTGGAAAGAGATGGTTACGTGGGAAGGGCTTGCTCTGCCTTGTCCTTAATCTGCAACAGACCATAGAGGTGTTTGGCCATATTTGATGTGCCAACATCTTTGTATCTTTGTGATTTACACGAACGAACCACTCCTTCCATGTTTTTGGGCACGCTGAGTAGAACCGAGCGAATAAACAACAGGTAGCGGGCACTATATGACCCAAGCCGAAGGCACACTGCCCACACGTCGTACAAAAGACAAGGCGTTCGTTGCAGGGATGGTGACAGAATAATGTATTGACACGCGTCAAGCATCTTCGAAGCGTCTTTGGTTTCTACGTGTTTGAAACATGTCCGCAGAGGTTTTCTTTTTCTTTTTTATGAATGACGTAACAGGACAGTTATATTCGGAAGAAACGGACAGTCTCTGCGGATAATCTTTTGTAGGATGTATGAGCAGCAGGGCCGCGTCTTTATACACGAACTCATCTTTGTTACGTCACGGCGCGGTGGTGGCGCGTCGGTCGCACTTCCGGTCTGGGGCTGTGGGCAGAAGTCCCCATGCCAGACGTGTATTCCTGCGTTGTTTTGAAAGGAACCCGACAAAAACCTGCCTTCTTGTCAAAACGCCGCGACTGGGGCCGTACCAAAAGTGTCGAGAAAGGTTTGAAGGTCAGTTTTCACGTGCTCGGTTCATCCGAGAATCTGGATATGCGCCGTGAAAAGGGAAAAACAGACGCCGTCGAACAACGATTGCTTGGGCGGGAAGCACTTTGGGTTGAATTCATGGATACTTGTGGTCATCGGATTTATTTGTTTTGTTCCAACATGAACGCCAGAAAACCGTCAAGTTGTGGGGACCACCTGCGGACTACGTTCAGTGCGTCTTCAAGTTCAAACGGCCGCCTGATCGTTCAAACTGTCGTCTGCTCTTTCAAACGTTTCTGCTTGTCGTCTGCTCTCTTACACGACGCCGGCCCGTAGACCAAATGTTGGTCTGGTACTTGCGATAAGAAGTAAGTGCAGGCCTCAAAAGACTTAAATTTGAAGGTTGGTAAGCAGGCTCAATGTAAACAGTAGATACAAAAAGATGTTGATCATTGTTACCAGTGACCATCACTGACTTGTTATCCCTAATTCACTTGGTTCGATTCTGCTTGCGATTTCCAGTATCGACGTCGACTATCTCAGCTATGGTTCACGCTTTTGCAGCCCGCGCGCCGTCGCGACTGAAAATTGCCAGCGAAATCGCATCATGCGAATCAGGCTCTACGTCCTGTGTACTCCTTTTCCTCCCGTCCTTGTCGTTTGCGCGCTGTTTCCATTATTTCTAAGTACATACTGCGGCATCCACGCGGAATGCAGCGCCACATGTCACATTATTCACGCGAAGTTTTGCGGTGTAATGAGCCTCGGTATTTTCGCTGACGCCGCTCAAGTAGTCAGACATCGCCAGGAAGACGTAGAATCAACAATTCGAACGCAAAAAAGGGCAGGGGGGCTCACACCGACGCCGACAACATCGCATTTCAATGGTTTGTTTATGGGCGACGGCGAGCTTCTTGCCCACACCCCCATCGCGCATGCGCGGCGCCGGTGGTGTCCGCTAGGGGCGCTCCGGTTTGTTTGTGAACATGAGTTGGTGTATACGACTCGCTCACCAAAGCTGCGTCCCCGGAGCTTTTTTCCTCGGGCGTCCCAAACCCGGGGAGTTTCTTGCTGGCCGATGTCTGGGCAGCCGCGGCATCTCCCTGGGCGGCGTCTGCGCCCGGGCACTTCTCGCCTTCTTCGTCGTCGTCCTGGGGTTCGTCCTCGTCGTCCGAGTCGGTGTCCTGGTGGTGCGGCCAGGTGCCCCATGTCTGGTGGCTAAGGATGGGCAGCTGGCACACGAAACACAGGGAAGACATCCACGGTGTCTTCTGCCGCCGCCCGCTGGCCCCCTCGCCGTCACCGTGCCGCGGCGCGCCGTCGCCGCTGGGGCGCCTGACGCTGCGGCGGCCGCTGACGCCCGGCACGGGAGCGCGCCGTCCACGTCATGACCGCCAGGGCGGTCCGTGTCCTCAGCCCGGCCTGTCGGAGCCTGGGCCCCGTCCTCGGCCGGACTGGGCTTACTGGGGACCCACTCTCGCTCTCTGGGTCGTGGGTCGGTTCGAGGGGAAGGGCCGCCGACGAGGCTGTGGTGTCGAGAGGCAGGTCTGGTCTCGGCTCAATCTGTTCCGCAGGGAATACAAGGGATTCGTTTCCGTTAGCAGGTTTCCGTTTGGATAACTTTAAGGGCTGGTTAACAGATCTGCGTTGGTTGCGTTCGCGTGCGACTGCAACGACTGTAACGGCAAAGTCACCGGGACAAGTGTTCGCCGTACACAGCATGGCAAGCGATGTAAGGGGTAGCTTCGCGAAGCAATTCATGAGTAACGGTTGTTGCAGTGTTTTAGTCATTAGGCTCGTTTCGGTTGCATGCGAACGCAAACGTTGCAAATGTGTGCACCAGTTTTAAGGCCCCACAACATGCAAAGAAGGACCGGAAGGCACTATACTCTGTTCACCCTTTAGCTCAGACTGCAGCCAAAGGTAGAAACGCGAGCTAGCCCTGGCTCCTGGCTTTGAGACGTGCATTTCTACCGCGACTGCTCGTTCTGCAGAGGAACGCTTTAAAGCAGCGACTTTGAGCTATCGTGATAGCGGTATTGGTTGCAACCTCAGCTTGAGGGTGAACGGAATGTATACCTCTTCTCACCTTACAATGACTCTGGTGAGTTTTACGAGCATGGGTTGACAGCAATCAAATATGGGAACATCTGCTAAAGTTAAAAAGCTTTAGCAGTTGTCGGAAGGTAAGTATTCAGTAACCTCTAGCAGTATAGTAGAAAATATGGCAGCATGCTGAACAGCTCTTTGTACCTACTGCTACAGGTTAGTATATGTATACATATCTTACAACATTTCCTGAAGCTTAGAGCATGAGTGTGGAATCTTCGCTCTTTCCCACAAAAGGGTAAACGTAGTAGTTGCTCTAGAAGGCAAGAGCACGCTCTTTTACACCGAGTCGCGGGATATTTTCCAGAGTCGCCCAATTAAATTACTCCCCTCTCATTTTTTTCCAGACCAAGCACAGGAATAGTTTCCTCAAACTAATATTTGCACGTGGCTTTAACATACTGCCCCTACATATCTGTGCCATGATTTGTCAAAATTAAATGGAACCCTCAGTATGTTCGCTGACCGCTCCAGCCTACTTGCCGGTGGCTCGACTAAGCGCCCTCAAAACAAACGACTGTGGTAAAAATAACATTTCTAATCCCAAAGGACTTTGTGCTGGCTCTGCGTTGGACTACTCTTTCATAAGAATTTTGGTCATCCTAAGTGATAATGCCCCGACTTTCACACTCACTGCCTAAAGACGGGGGAGCTAAAATAGAAAGCCAAACTGAGTGCACAGCTCTTCCGTGTGTACCAAGCCGCCGAATCCTTCCAATGTGCTAATCCCTCGGCACAGCCGCCCGAACTCAGTCAACATCTCGACGACCCAATGCACCTTCTGTCGCCTCCGGACTCTCGCCTCTCCTGCTACCTACTTGATATTGCTGAAAACGGGACTGGCCTCTTCGGACTCCCCAAAGAAGGGCCACGTAACGCTCTTCCCGATAGCCGCTCCCGAAAGAAAATTCCCCGCGGGAACACCCAGAGTCTCGGCTGGCTCAAGACATCAGAAGGCATTACGTCGACTCCCGAGACACCCATAGCCTCTCCGCATCTCCCGTCAGCGAACGAAAGGATGACATACACGCACACAAAACAAAGCGATCGAGCATCACTCGCATCCCGAATTTATCTCTCGCCGACTCGCCAACGGCAACAACATGGTAGAAAAGAATGGCTCGCTTTCCTCTTCAATTTGGAGGGCCCGAAATCTCTTAGACGCGGGCCATCTGCTACAACCACGCTCCCCCCATCCGGCATCTCTTTCCTTTATTCGGCGAGGCAGCAACGTGCTCCAACCTCCTCGAGGAGAAAAAAAAAGAAATCTCATTTTGCGTTAACACGGACAGCCGCATCGTTCTGTTTTGCCCGCGTATATACGGTTCTAGTCGTCACAAAGCAACGCTCAGCAGGATGCTGTCGGATCTCCTCCAAGGAGCAGCATTGTTGGCTCGTATAGAACGGGGTGGGGCGGACAATTCATCTTGTTCAGGTCGCGGGGCCCGCTTCGTCGACGAATTGTGCCCCCCGGACGGACAGCGGTGACCGGCGTCCTCGGAGAGCCGGCCACGGCCCGTATAGCCTCCGCGACAACGGGCCCCGAGCGTGGGCGCTGACCGATCGAGCTTCAGAGGTTGTCCCCCTTCGGTGAAGTTTGCAGGCGCGTAATGAAGCCGGTGCTAGGCTGGCTCGAGTCCCAAGTGGTGTTGCGCACTGGCTGCTCTGTGCGACGAGAAGAAAGAACCCGGGTTTCCCGAGGCAGGGATGATAAACGATGCGCCGGGAGTTCGTCCTCGCTGTGATCAGAACCGCCGGCGGTAATGGAGAAGGACGCGAGAGAAGGAATTTCTGCTCCAATGTGCGCCGATCGAGAGCAATCGCTATTCAGGGAATGTCGGCACACGGATCACGCAGCACAACCGTCCCATACGGCTCGGCGGTTCTCTCTGCGGTAATGTGCTTCTATAGATAGTTTTTTTCTTTCGTTTTTTTTTTTTTTTTTTTTTTTTTGCGGGAAGCGTTTTATTCTTTGTCGATGATTAAAGAGATTCTTTTCAGTAGAATTCTCACTGCCGACTTCAGTGACTTTAGAGAGGAAATGAATGAATATTCTGAAGAGTTTGGTAACGGTAGCTTTGGTTTTCTCTCAATGCTTTCAGACACTGTGACAAAAAAGAATTGCTGCTAAAAAAAAAAAAAAAAAAACAATGTCATTTTGTTAGGAATGTTTTCCTTGCATTGTGTCTACACTGTATTGTGTAATTCGCCAGTGTACATAGATTGTGATTGTGAGATGGAGAAATCTTCTTGTAAAAATAATCCATCACGAAAGCATATATTTTGAGGTTTACAAAAGTATGACATCAGCTGTTTTCGGGGGATGCTATTTTACCTATATTCACGGTGTGCTGCATACAACAGAAACATCAAGGTGCGCGCGTAGATTCGACGGTTGTTCAAATGGCATTTGGTAAGAGGACGTTTGATTTTCGCTTCAAGACGCACACATTCATGACGCTTTAAGCCTTTTTTAGTTCCCTGGTTCGTCTTCAGCTGTAGGTTATCACAGACATCAATAGCCACAGATTTAACAAAGCGCACGTTTCGAATGACTTCTGAATGAAGGCGAAGCATCCAGTTCGAATGTGTGTGACATAACATGAACAGACGCGGATACAAGGGGGGGGGGGGGGGGGCGACGAGGGCGGCCGCCCCCCCCCCCCCCCCCCCCCCCCCACCCCAAACAGAGTCGACCCCCCTCTCTTTCCCCTTCCCGGAAGGCAAATGATATGGTCGGACCCCCCGTGCACAAGAAAGAATGGCAGAATAGTACCCTTCCCAAATTTCCGCCCCGCCCCCCCAAAAAAAAAAAAAAAAAAAAACGGAGTTCTGGATCGGCCCCTGAACGTGAACCAGCAAAACGAAGATAAGAAGTTCGCACCTAGCCATTGACCTGCCAAGTCCCTTTAAAAAACAAAATCGGTTTGTAGGTTGTTTTTTTTTATATTTCCGTAAAACAGGTATATTACACGCTTTTTGAAAAGCAGCTTCCCATAGATATCCACGAGGAATTTCCGGTGAAGCAGGTTCACCATATACTTTACTGGAGGGAATACATCCAACTCCACTCATTTGCATTAAACGGCGCGCCTACTGCGCCCATTTCTCCCCTGGCGGTTTGGACAACTCGGCACACGAAAAAAAAAAAAAACAAAAAAAAAACAACATATTATTGCTTTAAAAATGTTTAGAGAACAAACTACGACGCATATTGAGCAAACACTCGCATCCCTTCGCCAGCCGCGGCGGATGCCTGATAACTACGACCTCCGTGACAATAGGTGGCGCCTCCGCCACTTCCAATTCAATGCGGAATAACCCAAGGTTGCTGGTTATCATCCAGCCATTCAAACTGCGCCCAACCTGTCCGTGCCGAGGCCATAGTATTATCGAAGAGTAGTATGTATTGCCCTAGTAAAGTATTTGAGTCCACTGTGCGCTAAAAAAACTGAGGGAGAGGAGGAGCCGAGAGCACGAGGGGACGTAAGAACGCCCAGCTTTGGATCGAATAAAAAGTGGTAGTCAACTCCTTTGTCTCCGCTGCACTCGTCGAACGCATTCGAATGACAAAGTAAAACGCCGGGCGCCGGACGCCGGCGTTCCGCTTTGTAACGGCTTCCACGAGTGCTGTAGAGACAAGGCAGCTATAGCTTTAGGTCTACCCACTAAGCATTCCAATCAGAGCTCGGCATTTAGACGTCCCCTCGCGCTCTCGTCTCTTCCTCTCCTTCCGTTTCTCGGCGGAATGCTTTTAATATTGTCGCCAAGAGCAGAGATACGACCAAACAACATAACGTTCCTAAAAATGTGCACGTTGTGAGAACCTTAATTTTTTATATATAAAAAAAAAGGCATAAGTTTAGGCAAACGGAGGTGTTGCCCAAGCTGGTTGGAAGGACTCCAAAGTAACTTCCTCAAAGCTTGCACATCGCAGTCCAGGCTTTGCTAAGTGCTTTAGCTAAAACAGATTCATAAAAAAAAAAAATAAAACATTTCTATAGAGTTGGTGGCAGGTTAAAAGCCCAGTAGAAGCTTCGCCTCCAGCATGCGCTTGTTGCATTCTTCGGAGCTCTGGCTGCGCGTAGCACAAAGTGCTATCAAAGGCCGAAAGCTCGAACTGGAAGCAGAAAATCTACAATACTTGGAGGTTTCGCCTTAAGTCCAGACGTAGTCGACGCTACGAGCTGACGGAACCGATCAAGCAGTAACAAAAGCACAAGTCACCGAATCTTTTTCTGCGCATGACTGGTTTAGCGATGATCCAACACATTCAGAAAGGCGACGAACACTATGTTG